CGGCATCGTGCCCTTTTTCCATAGCCATTTCGGGCGTCCAAAGGGGAGAGAGAATTTCCAGAGGCTCCGAGGATTGTGTGCGCGACGGATAACGCTAGCCCCAGGATCATAAGGGTGGACCCCCCCGTCCTCTCAGGGGGGGGACATCGCTCCAGGTGGCGAACAAAATATGATTATTCCCCCCTCGGCTGCAGTGGATACGGGGCTTTGGCGTTTCGGTTCCTGTTGCCTGCTATGACTCGCGTGATGTCGAGATACGTGGCTCCAGCGATCTTGGGCCAGTCAAACATGCATTACGGCCGGACAGAGGTATACGATCGAGGTCCGCTTGGAGATGGTACCCTAACGGTTTCCGTGCTTGATGGGTGTTGTTGTGCAGCCTGGAGGAGGACACCCTCGGATGATCTCATGGCTTGGCCAGCAGCGGGTCTCACGTGCTCGAAGGATGTTATCATGTCCTAGGTCCAGCAGAATTCTTCGGTTTTTTTATAGCTCTTAGATGCGCACTACGCCGAGAGAGGCGGGGCCGACGCTCCAGGCACGACGCGCCACGCTGCGCCACGCTCCGCGGAACTCGGAGTGGCACGAGACTGCGCCGCGAGCGGCCGACGTCGCGACCGGAGCCTCAGGCCCCAATTTGCTGCGGCGCTTCTCGGCCAGGGCCGATCCGCGACGGCCCGCGGGCCCGAGAGCGGGCAGACGCGCCTGGCACGAAGGAGCTGCGACGCCCGAACATGTTCGGCGATGGACAGGGCCAAACGCGCAAGCAGTGCCAGGCGGCACTATGATCAAGCGCTGCCCACGAACTCTTAAGGGAAAAGACCATCAATGGCACGCTGCCCTTGCTGGCCCGGCAGCGTGTTGCTCCTTCGTGTTGTCCGAACGTTTAATGTTCCTTCAACAGAATCACGCCAATGGGATGCACACGGCGGCGTGTCGTTGTGGCTTTTTCCTTTCCGACAAACCAACACAGAGCACATCGTCTAGTGATCGGGACGTCACGCTGTGGCCGCGACAGCCCAAGCGACGTCGGTCTTCGATCGGCCCCCGTCGCGGGTAGCCACCGCGCGCCGGAGGCGCTCTGAACGCCGTCGCGGCGCGGCGACGAGGTGAGGTTGACCCCCGTCGGCGGGGTACCCCCCCGCGCTTATTGAGAAACCCAGAGTAGGAATTGGTGAAACGATGCCCAGGGAGGCATGGGCAGGAGAGGGCGAGGAGGGCAGGGGGATGTCGAGGAGGCGGGGGAGAGTGGGGAGATGGGGAGAGGGGGCCCTGTGGGGCTCTCTCGACAGGGGCCTGAAGACGCTTGAAGCGACCCCACTGCAGAGTCACAACGGCCAGACTCGTCATCGGAGTCCTGGCCAGTGCGCGCCTAGGGAGAAGCCCGGGGAGCCAGAGGTTCCCGCAGTTCGGTCGGTTTTTGGCTAAGTTCTGGAGGGGGAAAAAAACACAGACACAGTTGACCGCCGATCCGCAGGAAAATGTGCGAAAATAGAGGAAGTGTGGGGGGGGGGGAGACAGGAACCCAGAGGAGATGTGGAACTACGGGAATTCCTGGGATCTGTGTCTGTGTGTGTGCTTATTTGTGTGTTGTGGGCCCCTTCACAAGTCGCAGTCGGTTGCGTGCGGTTGCAGCCGGTTGGCTGGGCTCGGCCAGCTGCCGGTCGTTGCTGCGTCGCTGCGCGCCCTTCGCGATCGGCGGCGAGCCCGGGGTGAAGTTTGAAGGAGCGGGCCTTCTCAGAAGGCTCGGAAGGCCTTCTCAGAAGGCTCAGGAGGAGGAGGAGGAGGAGGAGGAGGAGGAGGAGGACGAGGAGAAGACGGAGGAGGAGGAGGATGAGGAGGAGGAGGAGGAGGAGGAGACGGAGGAGGGGAGGAGGAGGAGGAGACGGAGGAGGAGGAGGAGACGGAGGAGGAGACGGAGGAGGAGCAGGAGGAGGAGGAGGAGGAGGAGGAGGAGGAGTGCTGAGAAATTCCCTTAGGCTTCCCCGAAGACACAGGAGACTCCTCAGAAGGCCGGAGGGCTTTCTGAGAAGCCCCGCCGCCTTCTGAGAAGGCCTGCTCCTTCGCACTTCCACCCCTCGCTCGCCGCTGAGTCGAGTCACGCTGCCTGCGGCCCATCGGTTCGGCCGACTTCGGTGTCGTTGTCGGCTTCGGTCGGTGTTCGTTTGTGTTGCCGCGCAGGGGGCCTCGGGGAGCAGCGGGCATCAAGCAGTGGCGGATCGCCCCGGCTTGCCTAGAGGCTTACCGAAACATGTTCTATGGACCTCTTGTGTTTTGCACGGCATGCTCTTTGACAGCCTTTCTGGTCCAGACCGTCTTGTTCTGACATGTCGGCTGCACGTTCTATGAACGCTGCTCCTGCCTTCAGAAGCCGTTTGTCGAAGACCATGTCGTGGCTGGTGGCGGGCCTGCAGGAATGCCAGCACGGCCGGTCCCTGCTCATCGTCGCCGTCGTCCTTCGATCGGTCCCAGGCTGGGGCCCGCGCCGCCGCGCCGGCGCCGCTAGCACTCGTCGTCGTCGTCGTCGTCGTCGTCGTCGTCGTCGTCGTCGTCGTCTTCGTCGTCGTCGTCGTGGTCGTCGTCGTCGTAGGTCGGGCCTGTCTCTCTACACGGGCAATATTCAAAAATAGTCCAAACATAGTGTGGGAACGATGTCTTGACATTGTGTTCGTATTTTGGGGGTGCTTTCGGGGTATACGTTTCACTTGTCGCCCAGAATATCCGCCCGTAGGGGGGCCAAGCCCGACCTCATCGCCGTCGTCGTCGTCGCCGTCGCCGTCGCCGTCGTCCTGCGATCTGCCCCAAGGAGGAGGAGGAGGAGGAGGAGGAGGAGGAGGAGGAGGAGGAGGAGGAGGAGGAGAGAGGAGAGAGGAGAGAGGAGAGAGGAGGAGGAGGAGGAGGAGGAGAGGAGAGAGGAGAGAGGAGAGAGGAGGGAGGAGGAGGAGGAGGAGGAGGAGGAGGAGGAGGAGGAGGAGCAGGCCGGGGCCCGCGCCGCCGCGGCGGCGCCGCTGGCTCGCCCGGCGCGCCGGGCCGGAGGCGTGCCCGGCAGCGCGGCGTCGCCCGCCGGCCTCTCGCGCACGGCCAACAGCTACATCGGCCTGGGGGCGTTCGAGACCATTGGCGGCGACGCGCAGGGAGCGAGGCGTCAGGCGGGCGCGCCCCTGCACAGGAGGCAGAGTCAAGAGTAGTCCGAGGGTAGTCTGGGGACGGTTGTCTGGCTCTTGCGGAGCATTTGTTGCTATGTTTTGAGTCTTGCTTTTTATTTGTCGTCCGAGGTCCCCCTGCAGGGGGACACGCCCAGCCCAAGGCTACAGGCCTCCCGGGCGGGCGCGTCCCTCCACAGGAGGCAGAGTCAAGAGCAGTCCGAAGGTAGGCTCTTGCTGGGCATGTTTTGATATGTTTCGAGTCTAGCTTATATTTGACGTAGTTCTGCGGGGACGATGTGTTTGTTTGATCTAGTTCTACGGGGACGAGTGTCTGACTCTTGCGGGGCATGTGTTGCTATGTCTTGAGTCTTGTTTGCATTTGTCGTCCGAGATCCCCCTGCAGGGGGACGCGCCCAGCCTAAGGCTATAGGCCTCCCGGGCGGGGTCGGGGCTCGGCCGGGCCGAGGTACAAGATCGAGGTCGGTCCGGGGAGGGTACCCTCATGGTCTTCGTGTCTGTTGGATGTATCGGGTTGACCCAAAAGGGCTTCCAGCGACAAGGGGGTGGTGCAATGGATTTGGTGCAATAGATTTGTGGGGTTGCAATACATTTAGGGGCGTGCAATACATTTCGGGGCGCAAATGTATTGCTGGGCTTTCGCGTGCAATACATGATTTGCAATACAATGCAATACAATTCTTTGGCGCAGTACATTTGCAAGACCATTGCCTCAAATCTATTGCACCGCCCCCTTGCAGCTGGACCCCCTTTGGGGTCACCCAAAATGTTCCTGTGCATCCTGGGGGAGGGCACCCTCGAATGTTCTCCAGCTTGGCCGGCGCAGGGTCTCATGCCCTCGAAGGATGTTCGCATGTCCTGGGTCTGGCCACAAGCCTCCTGGGCGACGTCGGAGCAGATGGGGTCGGAGGATTCCGTAGCATCGGCGATGCATCGGCGATGTGGATCGGCGTGGAGCCCGATGTTCTTCACGCCGACGTCGCCGATGCATCGCCGACATCGCCGATGCATCGGTGATGCATCGACGAGGCGGCGCGATCCTTCTCAGAGTCCCGAATGAGGGTTGGGGGTGGTCAGGGGTAGCTCCTCATTCGTGCCTCAGTGGCCCAAGCCGGAGTTGCCCTGGCCTGGAGGTTGTCACAGATATTTCGGGCGTCCAACCATTCCCGAATTATCCAGGCTGGGGGTGGTCAGAGGTAACTCCTGGTTCGTGCGTCGGGGACTCCAACGAGAGCTATCCTGGACCCGAGTTATCCCGGAGAACCCGGGCGTCCAAGATCCTGCGCAGGGGTTTGCCACGAAGGCAGCGGGCCCCGAGGGAGCGGGCCCTCGGTTTGTCGCTGTTCCTGGGCTCTCGAGCCCCGGAACGGGCCCTGGGACCGTTCAAAAACGATCGCCATGAAGAGCTGGTCCCAGGGAAGGCCCCATGGGTCCGGGACCCGTGGCCCTCCGGGCCCGCTTCCTCCCCACGCTGCGGAGTGGCCCCCGGTGCGCGGCCTGCCGCCCGCTGCAGGGGAGAGGCGCTGCAGCGGTCTGCGCGGTTGCGAGCGGAGGCAGTCTTGCTGCTCCCTGGCGATAACGGGCGTGACCGGGGAGGGGGGGGGGGGAGGGGGCTGGAGGAGGAGGAGGAGGAGGAGGAGGAGGAGGAGGAGGAGGAAGAGGAGGAGGAGGAGGAGGAGGAGGAGGAGGAGGAGGAGGAGGAGGAGGGGAGGAGGACGGGCGTCATCAAGAGTGCTCTTGGCCCATCCGCACCCCGCGAAAGCCGAGCCCCGCAGAGCACTCGGGCGGAAGGCCTCTCTTGCGCGTGGCCGGTCCGTGGGGTCCGACGTCGGGCGCATGGCCACCGGCATATCCTACCTGGAGACCATCGTCGCCGAGCAGGCGCCCGCGGGGGGAGAGGGAAGGCTCCGGCGCTGATCCATGTGTGTGCGCGCCCCCGAAGCCAGCGCGACCCGAGGGTGGGGTTGGTCTTCTGTCTTCCGGGACAACGCAGTGCAACGGATTGCTCGGCATTGCTTGTCATTGCCTGTAGGGGGCCACATGCGAACCCTATCCCTACCCCCCACGATGTCTGAGGGGGAGGGTGGGACTCATTTCGTGCGGGAGCTCCCGAGCGAAGTGAACCCCACCCTCCCCTTCAGAAATCGTGAGGGGTAGGGGTAGGGTTCGCATGTGGCCCCCTAGCCTGGCGTTGCTTGCCACTACTTGGCAAGTGCAATGCAACGCAACGCTTGCCATTGCTTGGCACCCCTCGGCGTTGCTTGCGTTGCTTCGCATCAGGTGGTCCTGCTTGGCATCGCCTGGCGTTGCTTGCCATTGCTTGCCAACGCATGGCATTGCTTGGCAATGCCTGGCAATGTGTGGCATCGCTTGGCGTTGCTTGGCACTGGCTGGCACTGCGTGTGGCATTTCTTGGCGTCGCTTGGAATCGCTTGGCATTGCTTGGCATTGTTTTCCTTGCAGTATCACTGAGCAGCGCATGGCGTTGCTTGGCATTGCTTTGCCTAGCTTGAAATCGCTTCGCATCGCTTAGCGTTGCTTGACATTGCTTGACATTGATTGGCGTTGCCTGGCGTTGCCAGGTGTGGCTTGGCATTGCGTAGCGCTGCTTGGCATCGCTGGACATCATTTGGCATTGCTTGGCATCGCTTGGCGTTCCCTTGAATTGTTTAACATTGGTTGGCATTGCTTGGCATGGCTTGGCATTGCTTGGCGTTGCTTGGCATCGCTTGGCATTGCTTGGCAGCGCTTGGCATTGATCGGTGTTGCTTGGCATTGATTGTCATCGCTTGGCATTGCTTTTTATTGCGTGGCGCTACTTGGTGTTGCTTTGCATTGATTGGCGTTGCTTGGCATTGCTTGGCAATGTCTTCCATTGTTTGGCATTGCTTGGGGTTGCCAGTCGACGCCCAGGAACACCGAGGAGCCTGGGACAACGCCAGGGGCAGCCTCCGCAGGCAAAACGCTGAGGAGCTCAGGGGAACCCCCAGGCAACGACAGCGTGGAACCTGGCATCGCTCGGACGTGTGTATTTTTTTCTCGGCGAGGACCCTTGAGGACCATCCTGGACCATCGAGCAAAAAAAACACGCACGAAACTGAACAATGCACGGGAAATGGACGTCCGAGCGACGGCAAGGGAAGGGCACCGCACCCACCAGTTTCTTCCACAAGCTGCAAGAGCGCCACAGACAAAGCTCCTCCCCTCTCCTCCTCGGTACGGGGATCGCTGCACCTGTCGGCAGCTCCATGGCATCGTCTCTTATGATTCGGAGGCTGATCGGCCTCCCACCCTGGCACGTCGATTAGCGAATTGGCCGTTTTCGGTTCGCGAGATGGCGTCGCGGCCGTCATTTTTGCGGGTCCAGGTCCGTCGGTGTCGGTCTTGGGCCGTTGTCGCTAAAGGGTGGTTTATGACAGGGAGGCTTGTCCGCCGCCGGATGATGCTGTGCGCTGACGGCACGCAGGACTGACAGAGCTCCACACTCACCACCCACCAAACCACCCCAACCCAACCCGAACCCCTCAATTTGCTCTCCATTTCCAGTGGGGGGGGGGTCAGGGAACGTTGAAAAAAACATGGAATCCGTACCCCCCCAACCCGAAATTCGGGTCAAATTCGGGTCTTCGGGTTGGGTTGGGGTGGTTTGGTAGGTAGTCACGCACCGTGAGACATCGGGGCACAAGACGAGAAGCGACAGCCGAGATGGGGGACCTGGAGGCCCTCCTCCCCTGAGCTCCGGCGCGAGGGCGCGCTTCGCCTCGTGGTCCTTGCAGCGCCAGGCCTCGAAGTCTGCCCTGGGCGTGCCCTTCGGCGACGGCCTCCAGGAAGCGAGGCCTCACCAAGTCGGGATCGATTGGCAACAGAGGCTTCCCGCGCGGCGCGGCGCGGCCGAGGGAGCCCTTCCCAGACGCAAGGGGGCAAGACAAGGGGGCCCCAGGACGCCTCGCATCTCGCGGACCCGCTTGACGAGATGGGGGCGGCTTGGCGGAGTGCACGTCGTAGCCCGCTGGCAGCCCCGAGGCAGGGAGGTGCGTGGCCGGTGTGAGCGCTCAAAGCCGAAGGCGCGGCCCAGGAAGCTGCGGAGGAGGTCAGCGGTGTGAGCGTTGGGGTCGGCAGAAGTGGTGCTATGCGCTCGAGAGTGGGGCGCCAGAGCCCAGCCTGCCGGTGTCCTAGCTGCACGGAGCCAGTGGTCGCAGAGGCCAGGTCCCAACGTGAGAGCTCAGCGACGAAAGCGCCAGCGAAGCTTTCCAAAGGGGAAGGGGGCCGGGAGCCGCAGGTCCTGGTGTGTGTGTGTGGGGGGGGGGGCGGCGTTGCCTGGGGCCGCGCCCGGGGCGCCAGGGTTGCCAATGCGAGGTGGGGCCCGAGCAGGAGGGCGAGAGCGTGGTGGGGATCGCCGCGCGGCGTCAGAGCGGGCGACCCGCCCCGGGCCGCGGTCGTCGCTGGAAAGGGGTGCGCCGCCCCGCGTCACCCTTCGACCTGGAGCGCAGAGAGGCGCCGATGTCCGCCAGGGAGTCGCCGCGAGCGGTCAGGGAGACCAGGGCGGAGGAAAGGGGGCGGCAGGACGCCTCCCACAGTGACGAAACGCCGCAGGAAGAACACCAGCAGCTTGGGGCCAGCTTCGTGTCCTTCACTGACGCACTCACTCTCAGACTTACACACGTTCAGACTCACTCATACTCATACTCAGACTCGCTCACACTGCACTCAGGCTCACTAACACTCAGACTCACTCACACTCATATGCACACTCAGGCTCATTCACGCTCAGACCCATCATGCAAATACTCGTTCAGCTCCGACCTCACTCACGCTCAGACTCACTCAGACTCAGGCCCAATCAGACTCAGACACACTCACGCTCAGACTTACTCACACTCAGACGTACTCAGACCCACTCAAACTCAGGCTCCCTCGCATTCAGATTTGCTCACACTCAAGCTCACGCGCACTCAAACTTGCGTCCCACTCGCACTTAGAATTACATGTTGCGGGGATGTCTCGAGCGAGCGACGACTCGCTCTCACACAGACACACATTGACATGTACCCACAGAAAGGCGTGCCAGGAAACTTATGTGCACGTATGGGGATCTCCGCGTCAAGTGATTAGATTCATTGCTGTTGGGTCTGGGTCAAGCGGGCGCAAGACACGGACCTCCATCGAGCTTGGAGACAGGCCAGAGACACATGTCGAAAGCAGCCAAGCTGGAGCAGGGTCAAGGGGCCAGTGGGTGCTGTGCACTCGTCTGTGCTGAGAGCCGGACGGGATGGGAGCTTGCATCTCACCACTGGCTCAGGACGGACCGAGGTGATGCCATTTCTCTTTTCGCCACGTGCCCGCGCGACGTTAGAGTGAGGGTGCGCGAAGGTGGCCGCCGCGCCCAGGTTGTTCAGATGTTGCTGGGAATCCCAGAGGCCTTGGGACAGGCACCTGTTTGGGAGCGTGTTCTGGGGATTGGAGTCTTGCCGGTCAAGGGTCCCGTCCGCCAGACTACTCCTCGAGCTCTTCTGGGAGGCAGCCTCTTGCCGCCAGCGCGCAAGCACCAGCGCGGGTATGCAGACCGCAACTTGTACGGCTTCTGCAAGGAGGTTTAGGGGGGCTCTGGCCACCAGCGAGACGGATGTGCCAAGGTCTGGGAGGAGCCAGAAGACCCAGGCGAGAGTCATGTTGTGCCCGACGACCGCCTTGAGCACAAAGGTGGGCTGATGGACAGGGCCCGCGGGCTTCTTCTCGACTTCGACACTCCTGAGTTGGCGCATGAGGTCCCTCTCCTTTCTCTCGGGCTGGGCCCTGTCCCAGCCAAGCCAGAGGTTTCCTCGCGGGGCGCGGTGCACCGCCCATGGGGTACCAGCTCTGTTACCGACAGATCCGTCGCGGCCAACGGTGTTCCAGAGGCGACCCGATGCGGGTGGCCGGCTGTGGCGATCCCCCTCCTCCTCCTCCTCCTCCTCCTCCTCCTCCTCCTCCTCCTCCTCCTTGTCCTCCTCCTCCTCCTCCTCCTCCTCCTCCTCCTCCTCCTACTCCTCCTCATTTGGGGCGGTGCTTGGCGGGCAGGTGCCAGGCGGTACATAGGGCCGAGCAGCAGGCCGTCTTCGAAGCTGCGGAGGTCGGACCCCAGGGGGCCGAGGTCGTTGGCGGCCATGTGTACCTTGCGAAGGCTAACAATGCGCGGTCCCCGATGCTGGCTGGAGGGCCGTCGCGCCATGCCAGCGCTCGGAGAGATGTCTCAAAGTTGCACCAGAGGGTGCCCGATGCCGGTCGACGCCCATCGTGTAGGTGGGCCCCCGGGCACGGAGACTTCGACCCCATCCCGAGTGAGCTGGAAGTCATGAGCCAGGATACTTCCAGAATCTATGGCTTTCTGGGCAACTCGTGAGCTGACTTGTTTTGCGAAGATCGGAGCCAGTAGCGACCAGGCGTCTGAGGGTGTTGGCGCAGCTTTGCGAGGTCAGCTCAAGGATGTCAAGCAGACCTGCGGTTTCATATCTAGAGTAGCACAGCTCGTTACGAGCCAGGCCGAAGGAGCCAACCAGGCTCCCAGACGCCGAGAAATTGCTCCGCCTCGCCACGATCTCGAGGAGGTGGAGGGCGGGGGGGCTCGCTGCACGGGGTGCCGGTGCTCGGCTGAGACCGGCCTGTCGCGTGCTAAGCGCGAGCAGCCTGGCATGGACCATGGAGTGCCAGCCCACCAAAGGCTGCCTCGGCATCTTTCTTCTGCGCGTGCTGAACGGCACGGAGGTCTGTTTCGGAGGGCGTTCCTCCCTCCCCTTCTCTGCCTAATTCAAGCTTCGCGCGGCCCGCTTAGCTTCGACCAGAAGAGGTGCGCTCTCGACCCGCGGATCAAAAAAAAATGTTCCGGAGGGCGCAGCGAAGTTTTGTTCCGCGGGCCCTTGAGACCTTCGGTGTGACGCACGAGGGTCCCGGGCCGGCGCATGCTCTCGAGCGTTTCGAACACGAGGGCCACGTGCTCCAGCCTGCAGGCCAGTGCCTCATCTGCAGAAGGTGCGGGCAACGCACTACTTCCTTGAGGCCCCCATCTGGAGGGGCTTCCCCTGTCCTTGCAGAGGCGAGGCCTCTTCAGCCCACCGGTGTCGTTTGAACGAGTTGTTCGCTGGTCGCGAGCCTCGCTAATAAGGCTGCAGCGGCTGGCTTCGTGCCCTTGCTGGGGTTGGTTTCCGCGGCCGTATTTGTGGAGTTTGGCCTCTGCTGATTGAGCGGTTTCGCGTAGAGGCCCCTGCTCCCTTCTCCGAGGCTGCTACCTCCTCGTCCTGTCGGCAAATGCTCGATTCGGACACTGTCTCTGAGCTCTCCTCTGTTCCCTTCTCTTCCCTCGAAGAAGAAAACGCCACATACATAAGCTTGTCGTGTTCCGCGCGGATTTCTCGGATCCATGCTGGGGTCCCCTGGCGGCGCCTCCGGCGCCGCCCCTGGCGCGCTCTGTGCGCCAGGGAGGGGGTCCAGCGCGGATCCAAGGAATCCGCGCGGAGCGCCAAAAGTTGATGGTGTTGCTGCGTTATTGGTGTTTTGGGGGCGTTCTCCCTCTCCTCTCCCGCTGCGCCCTGAGTCCTCTGGTTCCTGCGAGCCGCCCTTGCGACCCGCAGCGCCTGGGCACGGGATCAGGGTTCCCTGTCGCGGCCGCACGCGCAGGGCAGCCTTGCTGCGTTGCCGTGGTTACGCCCGTTCAGTATCGCTGCAAAGGCCAAGGTCAGGAGGGGAAATGATCCTGGCGAAGGACCCAACCATGCGCACTTGCGAATACCGCGGTTCTGAATCTCATCTTCGCCCGCGCTCCCGATGGGGTCACGGACCGCGCGAGGGGCGTGCCGAAGTGCGCGGCGGGGCACACAACGCGAACGAAGACGAGAGGTCTGTGTGCGAGAGACTGTGAGCGGGTGAGTGTGAGCGCGAGTGAGTCTGATTTCGAATGAGTCCGCGCGCGCGTGAGTCTACGTGCGTGAATGTCGACGCCCATATCGGCGCGCCCCTCACGAGGATCGCGCCCGCTCCCTCCTTGTTTTTGTCCCCCCCTTTGCCCGCGCGCGCCCATGTCCAAGGCTGCGTGCGCGGCGCCGCGCGGAGTCCCCGCGACGCGCGCTGGTCGCCCCGAAGGGGTCCAGGCGACGCGCGCGGGTCGTCCGCTGCGCGGAGCAGAGAGAGCTGGCAGGCCGGCTAATCGTGCTCAGCATGGGCACAGGGCGCTGCTAGTAGGCCGGCCGATAGCGCTCAGCTAGCAGGCCGGCTGATAGTGCTAGAAGTCTCTGGCCGCTGGGCACAGCGACGACGGGGGCGAGCGAGGCGCCGGGCAGAGCGCAGCATGGAGTTCCCGCGACGCGCGCTGGTCGCCCCGAGAGTGCCGCAGCGACGCGCGCGGGTCGCCCGCGGCGCAAGGCCAAACAGTCAGACCGTCGAGAGACGGCGAGGCTCGAGCAGGTCGTTCCTCAGGTAAAGCCTCGCGGATAAATCTGGTGAGGCCAAGTTCCCTGGCAAGGGCCGTCGCCTCACTTCTGCACCGCCTCGTGCGCTTAGCAAACTGCTCGAGCTGTTTCCGCAAGCCCTCCAGCGGCCTTGTCAAGAAGAACTCGACGCGCGGCGCCCGCATGAGCAGGAGGTCCCCGTGGCGCGTGGCGCGCGAGAGCGGCGCGTAGAGCTCCAGCCACCAGTCGTTGCCCTCCTTTTTGCCGTTCCCGACCTCGTGGCGGCTGTAGTCCAGGATCACGCTTTGGCAATGTCGGCCGAGGGAGCAGCGCGCCGGACAGCCGACGGCCCAAGGCCAGAGTCCACGGGGCCGAGAGGAATCACGCGGCGGGGCCATGCGGACTGCGCCACTGGGACCTTAGTTGGAGCTCCCTATGGGGCCACGAAGCGTGTGATCGGTGTGCCAAAATGGGGCGGCGGTGCCATGCGACTTGCGCCACTGGGACCTTAGTTGGAGCGCACGAAGCGTGTGAGGGGTGTGCCACAATGGGGCGGCGCCGCCATGCGAGCTGCGCCACTGGGACTTTAGTTGGAGCTCCCTAAACGTGTGAGGGTGTGCCAAAATTGGGCGGCGCCGCCGTGCGAGCTGCGCCATGTGAACCTTCGTTGAGGCTCCTGATGGGGCCACGAAGCGTGTGAAGGGTGTGCCACAATCGGGCGGCGCCGCCATGCGAGCTGCGCCACTGGGACCTTAGTTGGAGCTCCCTATGAGGCCACGAAGCGCGTGAGAGGTGTGCCACAATGGCGCGGCGCCGCCACGCGAGCTGCGCCACTGGGATCTTAGGAGGAGCTCCTGATGGGGCCACGAAACGTGTGAGGGGTGTGCCAAGAGGTGGCGGTGCCGCCGCGCGAGCTGCTCCAGCGGGACCTTAGCTGGAGTTTCATATGGGGCCACGAAGCGTGTGAAGGGGGTGCCGACATGGGTGGTGGGGGCGATGATGATGACGATGCTGATGATGTTGATGATGACGATTATGATGACAAGGATGTGGATGAGGATGATGTTGCAGATGACGGTGTTGATGGATGATGGTCGATGGTGATGATAGTGACGATGATGCTGATGATGGGGAGAGGGAGGGGGGGCAGCGGGAGGAGAAAACGCGAGGCGCTGTCTCTTCAAAACAAGGACCCAGCACCACAGGATGGCTGGGAAAAACACACACACAATTAATCGGCGATTCCCGGGAGATGTTGGAAAATATGGCAAGTGGGGGGAAGCCGGAAACAAAGAAAATATATAAACATATTTGGTATATTGGGATGCGTGTGTGTATTTATTTGTGTGTCCCTGGGCCCCTTCACAAGGTTTTCGCGCGACGGCTCACCTATTGCAGGCTGGCCCTCAGGTGATGCCAGGTTTGCCCAGTGCATGCGGTCGGGCACCACTGTGTGTGTGTGTTGATTTGGAAGACGAGGGCGCCCTCGTCGAAGCCTGATTGGGGAAAAATGAGGCGGCCCTGGGGAAGGGGTCCATCCGGTGGGGTTTTGGACAAGGAGCCCGCAGATGAGGAGCCCAGGGTCTAGAAGCGGTGGAGCTCCAATCGTGGATCGGCCGTGGTTACCACCGTCACCGTCGCCCTCATGGAGTGAGGAGTCATCCTGGGCCTGCAGGCCTGCTGGGCACACTCCGTCACGAACGCTCCACCGAACGCAGGTCCGGGGCCCCACGCATCGAAGAGTCCGAGGCGTGGCAGCCCCCAATCGGGGTGGTGACCACACCGTGTGGTGAGTCGGTGGGGATTCGGGGTCACCGCACGGTTTTGGGACTCGGGTCGTTCTCCGAGGACGTTACGGGCGACTGCGGCATCCGAGGTCCCAAACCCGTGCGTTGAAGGACCGTGCGGTGAGGTCTTGGGGGGGTTCGAGGTCACCTTACGGTCTGTCATCGCACCGTTTCGGGACTCTAAAAGAGGGGGAGTACGGGGGCGTCTGCCCCAGGCGCCCTCGAGTCAGGAAAAGATCGACGGAGAGTCTTTCGCTGTTTTCGGCCCCTGGGTGCCATTACCGGGCCTCGGGGCCGTCCAAAAAGCGGCGCAGGATGAAAAACTGGTCCCGGGGGAATGAGTCGAGACCTTTGGGGTCGACCTTGGGGGTCGAGACTTTGGGGGGCGTCTGCGTGGCCGTGGGGAAGGTCGGCCACGCGCAGAGTGGGGCAGGGGGAGGGGGGAAGGCTTCTCAGAAACACCCCTGCGTCTTAGAAGGCGCGGGCCTTGTCTATAGGTGCAGGGCCAGCGCCTTCTGACAAGCAGCCTCCTTGCAAGAAGCCTTCCCCTCTCCCCCATGTCCCCCTCTGAGCGCCGCCAAATGATTCCGCATTCAAATCTGATCTTGGGGGAAGCAAGCCAAGGGTCCAGGACCCGTTTCCCTCAGGACCCCTTGTCTTTTGCCAAAGGAGGCCGCGTACGAGGCGGAGACGACCCCTCTCCGGCGGGCCGTCAAGGCCATCCCCCTGCTGAAGAGCAGGCTGGAAGTGGGCAGACAGCACCACCAGCAGCAAGACCCGCAGGAGGCAATCAAACAGTACTCGCGCGCACGTGAGCTGGCCGAGGAGGCCATCCAGAGCTTGAGCAGCGCCAAGTCGGTGAACTACGCGCGCTTTCTGCTATCCGAGGTGTGCAGCAGCCTGGGCGTCGCCCACAACGACGTCGGCGATGCGGAGAGCGCGCTGGCCATGCACGAGCGGGCCCTGGCGATTCGCAAGGAGACCGTCGGAGAGGAGCACCCCGCCGTCGCGGAGTGCTACAACAATCTCGGCGCGCTCTTCTTCTCACAGGGCTCCTTCCAGCAGGCCGTGAGCCACTACGAGCAGGCACTCCCGCTGCTGATGCTGGGCTCGGGGGGGAAGGCAGACGGGCCATACGTCGCGCTGACGCTCTACAACGTCGGGGTCTGCCACGACGGCCTGGGCAACGCGGAGGCATCCGTGGCCGCCCTCACGAAAGCGCTGGAGGTGGCGGAGAAGGCGCTCGGGTCGGACCACCCCAAGGTGGCGACCAGGAAAAGGAGGAGCAGCAGCAGCAGCAGCAGCAGCAGCAGCAGCAGCAGCAGCAGCAGCAGGAGGAGGGGGGGGATCCAGACCACCCAGCAGTGGGGCACGAGCGGGTGGGGCCGCGGCATCGCGCCGCATCGCTGACGCATCGGCGATGCGGCGCGATCCGGGGCCCGATCCGGCTTCTCCGACGCATCGGCAGGGCGGCGCAGTCTTCCGACGCCGTGCGGGCAATTCCGGAAGCCCTCGGCGAAAAAATGATTGGCGCACCGTTGCATCATCCGGCTGCCCGCGGCAAGGTCCGCCACCCTACCAGCCCAGCATTCCTGGCGGCGACGGTTCGAGCATGGGAGAGCCACGATGATGATGATGATGATGATGATGATGATGATGATGATGATGATGATGATGATGATGATGATGATGTTGATGACGATGATGATGATGATGATGATGATGTTGGTGATGATGATGACGATGATGATGATGATGATGATGATCATGACGACGACGACGATGACGATGGTGGGGATAATCATGCCGATGATGACGACGATCATGGTGATAAGGAAGATGCTGATGATGATGATGCTGATGCTGATGGTGATGGTGATGCTGATGGTGATGGTGATGGTGGTGATGATGGTGGCGATGGTGATGGTGATGATGGTGATGATGATGATGATGATGATGATGGTGATGGTGGTGGTGGTTCTGGAGATGGTAATGGTTGCGTGGTAGTGATGCTGCCAATAGTGGTGATGATTATGATCATGATGATGGTGATGGTGGTGTTGATGATGTTGATGATGGTCATGATGGTGGTGGTCGTGTTGATGTTGGTTGTGTGGAGATTATGAGGATGAGGATGAGGATGATGGTGGTGATGCCGGCGATGGTTATGCTGATGTTAATGTTGATGGTGGTGACGAAGATGTCGGTGATGATGATGATGAAGATCATGAGGATGAGGATGAAGATAACAATGGTCATGATGGTGATGATGGTGATGGTGATGGTGTTGGTCATGGTGATGGTGATAGTGATGATGATTGTGATGAGGATGGCGATTATTTTGATGATGGCAATGGTTGATAATGATGTTGATGATGCAATTGGTGCGTGTGTTGACAGTGATGGTGATGATGTTGATGGTGACGGTGATGGTGATCGTGATGCTGACGATGATGATTATGGTGTTGATGTTGTTGGTAATGATTATGATGATGGTGATGCTGAAGATGTTGAGGTTGATTATGATGGTGATGATCGTGGTTTGATGATGATAACGGTGATGGTGATGATGATGGTGATGATGATGATGGTGGCGTGGTGGTGATGGTTATGATGGTGATGCTGTTTATGATGATGATGACGATGATTGTGATGGTGGTGGTGATGTCGGTGATGCTCATGATGATTATGATGATTATCATGATGATGATGCTGGCGATGATGTTGACGATGATGATGATGATGATGATGATGATGATGATGATGATGATGATGCTGATGATGATGATGACGACGATGATGCTGATGATGATGGTGGTGGTGGTGGTTGTGGTGATGGATGGTGGCGGTGGTGTTGATGAGGAAGGGGGGAATGAAGATGAGGATGGTGGGGGCGATGAGGATGAAGTTTAGTTAAAGGCTGAGGATGATGATGAGGAGGAGGAGGAGGAGGAAGAGGAGGAGGAGGAGGAGGAGCGGCAGGAGCAGGAGGAGGAGGAGGAGGTGGAAGGCCGTCATGTGACACTTATCTTATTCTAAGCTATCATGGAACTCGCTTGTGCCCTCTTGGGCTGTCTTGGCCTACTGAGAGGCAGTCGGGGGTCTCTTGGGGACCTCCTGGGCCATCTTGGGGCCCTCTTACGCCGTCTTGGGGCTCCCAGTGGCCGCCTTGGGGACGTCGATGCTTCCTGTGGGACATCGTGGGACCTATTGGGCCAGTTTGGGCCCTGCTTGGGGTCTCCTGGACCTTCTAACACGGTATACTTACATCAAGGACCGCTCAATACAAATTTGGCATCGCTCGGACGTGTGCATTGTTCCTTCGGCGAGGACCATCGAGCAGCGTCCTTGATCAGTTGGCGGGAAAACCACGCACGAAACCGAAAAAAACAGGGAGTGGACGTCCGAGCGATGCCCAGCAAACGCACATGATGAACGACGCGCATGTCGCAGCCCTTGAGGGAGCCGCAACGTCTAGGCTGGGTCCGCGTGGACTTCCATTCCGCTGGACCTCCCAGGCGCCCACGAAGTGGGCGAACGTTGCGCGGTCCGCAGCCCCCCAGGGCTTGTGAGGTCTCTGCTGGGTCTGCGTGGACTTCCACGCCGATGGACCTCCTCGAAGCCCACAAGAATGGCGACAGCTGCGCGGTTTGCAACCCCGCAGGGAGCCGCAGGGTCTCGGCAGATCTGCGTGGGCCTCCTTTCCGCTGGACCACCTCCCAGGAGCCCACGAAAATGGCGACAGTCGCTCGGTTCGCAACCCCGCATGGAGCCGCTAGGTCTCTGCAGATCTGCGTGGGCCTCCACTCCGCTGGACCTTTGCGCGGTTCGTAACCCCGCCGGGAGCCGCTAGGTCTCGGCAGATCTGCGTGGACTTGCACTCCGATGGACATCCCAGGAGCCCACGAAAGTTGGAGCACGGTTCTTTATTGCTTGGGGCATGACGGGCGTCATGGCCCCCAGCCCCCCCCCCTTTATGACGTAACGCTCCTCCCCCCAGTGCGTTCTGGACACTGCCGCCGTGCGCATCGTGATCCGCACCAGTGTCCGCATAGGAATTCGTATAGAAGTCTGGTCCGCAGTCGTCGTCGTCGTCGTCGTCGTCGCCGTCGTCGTCGTCGTCGTTGTTGTCGCTCGTCGCTCGTCTCTCGTCGCTCATCGCCGTCGTGCGCGCGGACGCAGCTGGAGCCTTTTTTTTAATTCCAGGCCGATGACGGCAATCATCTAGGGGGGATGACGTCACGTTTCGCGCTGGCGGCGTCAGGGAATGCCCAGGAATCACCGAGGACGAGTAGCAGCAGAATGTCGGTGGCGATCTGCACCACAACGCCTGTGTACACCATAATGCCTGCGTGCCTGCGTGCACCACGGCGCTTGTGTACACCACACCGCATATGTACACCACAGCAGCCGCGTGCATCACAGCGCCAGTGTGTGCCACAGTGCCTGCTGTCACCACAGCGCTTGTGTACACCACAGCGCCCGCGTACACCCCATCAGCCGTGCGCAACACAGCACCAGTGTACACCACAATGCTTACGTGCACTCAACACGGCACCAGTGAATAGACCATTCTGCGGTGCACGCTGAGACGCGCACGTGCGCTGTAGTGCCGACCCGCACGACAGGGGGGAAGGGTGAGGGAGGAGGAGGAGGAGGACGAGGAGTAGGAGGAGAAAGAGGACGAGGAGGAGGAGGAGGAGGAGGCGAAGGAGGGAGGAGGGTGGAGGGAAAAAGGTCGCATTCTATTATCAGCACTTCCCTGGCGTGGCGTTTAGCTGTCCGCAGCAGATCCTCACCGAACCGACATGCTCCTTCTACCTGTCCTGTGCACGCAGGCACTCTGGTGTACACCAGCGCTGCGTTGCACGCGGATGCTGTGGTGTAGACAGGCGCTGTCGTGTGCACAGGCGCTGCGGTGCACGTAAGCATTGTGGTGTAGACAGGCGCTTTGTTGCACAAGGTTGCTGCGGCTTGCACAGATCGCCACCTACATGCTGCTCGCGTCGTCGTCGTCGCTCGTCGCTCGTCTCTCGTCGCTCACCGTCGTCGTGCGCGCGGGCGCGGCTGTGGTGCCAGAGCTGCACAACGGGGGGGGGCGTTACGTCGTACCCCCCCCCCGCCCCCCCCTCCATCCATGACACCCGTCATCGCCGATGATAAAGAAACGCGCTCTTGCGACAGTTGCGCGGTTCGCAGCCCCGCAGGGCCCGCGAGGTCTCGACGAGGGAGAGGACGACAGAACAGGAGAGTGAGGGGGCTGAGTGAAGGGGAGGAGGCGGGGAGGAGAGAGGCGGGCGGCAGGAGGCAGGAGGCGGGGCCCAGGCTGCTCTATTCAAAACGGGAGCCCCATCAAGGGAGGGTTGGGAAGAAGAAATCATGATTTTGGTTTCTTCGGACCCTGTCGGAGGTCCTCCTGTGACCCTCTTGGGTCTTCTTGGAGGTAAGTTGCGCCGTCCTGACGCCATTTCGGGCTGCCTCGGGGTCATCTTGGGCCATCTTCGAGGCATCTTGGGCCATCTTGGTGTCTTTGGTTGCCTGCATGTGCCGTCTTGGAAGCTCGGAACACGAATCCATTCGTGTGCAAGGGATGGTGGCCTCGGCAGCGCGGATCCATTGTCTTGTCTGAGGGATCGTGGACTCGGGAGGGCGGGACGATGCATGCAGATAGTGCTGGTAGTGAAGACGTCCCTTACCAGAACTCAGAGGCTTTTCGGTAGGTCTGCGTCGTGCCAACCGGCGCAGACCCCGCCGCGGGCGTTCAAGGTTACGCCGCCAGTGGCCGGGAATCGGCCAGTATGGAACGATCTGGCGATCGAATGCCCGCCGATCGCTCAAGGTTAAACCATCCACGGGGTGTCAGAAACCAGCGCCAAGGTCGCCACGGCACGAACCTGCCCTACCGGACAACCTTAGGCATTCGTCCACGTAGCGTGGACAAATCGGCGGCGAGCGAGGGGGGAAGTGAGAAGGGGCGGGCCTTCTCAGCAGGCTCGGAAGTCCCCCGGCCTGCAGAGGAGGTTTCCTGAGCCTTCCCCGAAGACACGAACAGCATGTCGAAGGCCCGAGTGGTTTCTGAGACGTCCCGCCGCCTTTCCGAGAAGGCCTTCTCCTCCTCACTTCCCCCCCTCGCCCGCCTGGCACAGGCACGGTGGCGGATCTCCGCCGCCCTCCGCCGACCTGCCGCCCGGCGGACTGGTCGCGGGCCCCTCCGCGCGGGGGCGCGAGGGTGCGTCGGGAGCGGGGCCTTT